GACCACCCCAAATACTGGTCAAGGAAAGCTTTGTGCTGGACACGGCTTCCGCTAACTGCAGCTACAATACCCACTATAAGGACCACCCCAAATACCGGTGCCGAGGCTACTTCCGGGACTACTGCACCATCATTGCCTTCACACCCAACAGCACTGACCGCGTGGCCCTGAGGGACACAGGAAGCCAGCTCATCCTCACTGTGTCCTGCCTGACCAAGGACGATGCGGGCTGGTACTGGTGTGGCATCCAGCGGGACTTTGCCGCAGGGGTGACATGGATTCTACAAAGCTGGTTGTGACTGACAACAGAGGAGGCCTCGCCAGTGATTTTTGGTCTGGGAAAGGTAAGGAGTCTGTCAGGGGTCCGGTCACGGGTAACCCACAGTCGTTCGTGCTCATTGGTGTGGTAAATCCTCGCTGAGACCGGGGAGCGCCACATCAGGCTCCCCCTAGGTTCTTTGGGGCGACCTGATCACTCCTTCCCTTCAAGGTAGGGTGGTTGCTGATGGCTGGGGACTAACTTGGAATTCGGGGAAGAGGAGGGTGTGTGTATGGGCTCCAGGGTACTCTTGGAACCTTCTTTCCCTCACAGCAATCTGGCTCATGGGATTTGGAAGAGGCTCATAGCGGCTAACAGGTGGGAGGGCTTTGTGTTGCTGGCCAGGAAAGGCTCTGAGGTTGTTATCACATGTCTGTGCTCTGTAGCCAGCCTTGTAGGTCTAGAAGCTTGAAGATCCATTTCTTGAGAGGTGAGTGAGGCTATAAAAAATGACCCAGGTGCCTGGATGAGCACCCCAGAAACGGGGTGAAGATCATGGCCAAACGGGTCAGGAGTGCAGTTTACACCCGGAGGCTGCTGGGTAGGTGTAGGTTGGACTGGAGGCTGTAGGGGGAGGTCTATCTAAGCCAGTCAACTGCTCTTTTGGGCCAGGGCTGAGTTCTCCAGATGCTCACCAAAATTCTTCTGTCAAATGCCCAAAACCTCTTTTTAAATCAGAAAGTCTCTGCCTCAGGCAAAGAGCTTATGGAAAGCACTCACCTTTCTCTTTTTTCCTTCTGTGCCTTCTCAGTTGTTTCCATTTCTAGGAGGGATGGTCTTTCTATCATAGTCCAGAGCACAATGCCGGTAGAAAAACAAACCAAGAACTTAAGAGAAGCCCTAGGAAGCCTCCTGGTTCTGGAAAGAGAGTCTTGCTCACACTTGAGCAACAAGTCATTTGTTTAGCAAGCATCTTATTGAATGGGTGACATCCTTCACACCTAGCGTGTTTCTACTGTATAGTTTTAGGCTCGGGATGAAAGAGGTCTCACCTAAATGTGCTCCTTAGTTTAAGCCCCCAGTCCTCCCCAGCTAGATTTGCTAGAGAAGGCAATGTAGGTGGCCGTGGCAGAGGTTCTCCCACTGGGTTTTGGTGGCTGTCAGGAGCACAGTGTGACAATGATGTCACCTATTGGCTCATGCCTTAAGGATTGGACTGGGCCTCTTGTGCCTCTGGTGTCCCCTCCCAGAGCCTTCAGCCTGGGACTCTCTAACCATGGGCCACTCCTAGTCCACACAGGGCTTTTGGGCAAATCTGGAAAGGGGGTCCTGCCTCCAGGTGCATGGAGCCCAGTGACAGGGAGTATGGCTTGGCCAGCAGAGTATGGGCTGGATTTCAGCCCCTACTTGTTCCCTCTGCCCTCTGCCCCGGGCAAGGCACCCTTGGCCCAGCATTTGTCTGGAACACTCAGTCTCTGAGGGTTGAGGGATTGACAGCCAGAGACTCAGAGATGCAGAAGGCAAGGGCAGTCTTGGGGACCAGCTCACTGGACTCTCAGCAAATCCTTTCTGAAGCAGACCTATCAGGCAACAAGACCAGAAACTGCCGGGCTTCCAGAGTGGTCCACAAGGCCAATCACTCCAGGTGAGGACAAACCGGCTTTGGGGGGTGAGGCGGGCAAGGGTGACACAGCGTGGCAATTGATTTGCACCTGCCACTTCTCCACCTGAACTATGGATCTTCAATGTGACCATGTGGTTTCTTTTTTTTTTTTTTTTAAAGATTTTATTTATTTATTTGAGACAGAGAGAATGAGATACAGAGAGCATGAGAGGGAGAAGGGTCAGAGGGAGAAGCAGACTCCCTGCCGAGCAGGGAGCCCGATGCGGGACTCGATCCCGGGACTCCAGGATCATGACCTGAGCCGAAGGCAGTCGCTTAACCAACTGAGCCACCCAGGCGCCCAACCATGTGGTTTCTTTCAGAAGATTATACTTTAAGACTCTTGGATGTAAGCAGCAAAAAAAAAAAAAAAAAAATGTCTTCTCAGTATTTTAACTAAAAAGGAAGAACCGTTCTAAGGAGAGAGCAATGTCTCACACGCGAAGGGCGGGACATGGTGCCCTCAGAAATGGTCCAGAGTGTCTTTGGGACTTTTTCTCAGTCTCTGCTGCTCTCGTGTGTGCTTGCTGCCTTTCTCTCTGCACTGCTCTCTTCTTTTCATTTTGGCCGTTCCTAGCTCCTAAGCTTATGTCTCCCCTGTTCAAGAAACCAGCCAGTCTGAGCACTGGATCTTCCTGCTCCAAGTCTGTGTTAGTCTCTGAGGAAGGGGCTCGGCCCCGCTTGGTCTACCCACCAGCCCAAGTCCATTCAGTCTCGGGCTGGGGGACAGGAGCACTTTGAAGGGACACGGTGGCCAGGAGCTACTGGAACTGGGTGGGGGTGGGAGGGTGGGGCAGATCCCAGGAAAGGGGATCCTGAGTAGAGAACTGAATTAGAACCACATGAAGTCTCTGTCTGTGACTCCTTCCAGGATGTCCATTCTCATCATCTGCATACTGATCACAGGCTTGGGGATCATCACTATAATCAGTCATTTGTCCAAAAGAAGGAGAAGTCAAAGGAATAGAAGGGGTAAGTAGCCACTGGGCAGTGGGAATTAGGGAAAATGAAAGGGACCAAGGAGTAGCTTTCAAATGAGTGAGTGTGGCCCTCCTCTTGTTGCCTGGACCCATGGAGGCCAATGCAACCAGCCCATGGGCTGGAGGAGATTCTGCTTCATGGTGACCAAGGCCCCATGAGAGGTGACAGAGAGAGCATGGTGGCCTTGGTAAGTGGGAGTATGTGTAGACTAGGGAGGAGGGAGGCCTTGAGACAACCACACTGTAGGTCCCAGTGTGTGGAAGACCACCTGCCTCCCCAGCACACAAACTTTGGGAGGTAGATTTACTCTTTGCTTGAAACTTTTTGTTCACCTGGAGGGACTGTCAAAGGACATCTGGGGCCCCTAGGTAAGCAGACATAAAAAAGTCTCCTTGAGAAGGGCCAAGAGTGGAAGAGGACAGGCCCATGGGCCTCAGCCCTGGTCTTCAGCCACCAGAGGAAGGGCCCTTAAGCTTTGTGCCTCCTTCTGCCTTTGGGTGATTACAGGTAAAAACCTCACTAGAAGCCAGAAAACCAGTCAAGCTTCTTCTATGATCCCACACCTCTGGTAAGTTCCCTCCTTGGCTCTTCCTGGGCCCTGGGCTCTACAGTTACCTGATCTTTAGAGATCCCCCTTCCTAAAGAGAATAGGAATTTTTTCAGCAGGGACTATGTGGATCTGCCCACCTTTCCTTTCTCTCTCTCTCTTTTATTTTTGTTCACCTTTCCTTTAGGGCAGCATCAGAGAAACCAAAATCCTCAAGAGCACCATGTGGTGGTTCTGTTAACCTCTCAAGAGGACACAAGGTAGAAAGAACACCATACAAGCGCCACTGTTTGGCCAGCAGAGCTTTTTATGTTTTTCTTTTTACGCTCAGAAGCCACAGAAGTATGTGGGGCAACAGAGAGACTATAGACAAGTCATGAACAGACTTCCCCCTCCTCTGGGTCTGGAAGTGCAGAAAAACAACGTTTCAGAGAATGAGAGAAAACATGAGCGTGCGTGCGCACACACACACACACACACACACACACCTGGAAGCATGTGCTTCTGAAACACAGGGTAGAGCCAGAAGAATCTGGAATTCAAAGCTAAGGCTGTGAGGTTTCATACTGTCCCTGTGATAATTTGGCCCCATGGCAGAGCAGGAGCCCTAAGAAATCAAAGTCGTGGCTCCCTTTTGTCCTCTAAGAGCTTTAGGAACTGGTGGAGGTGGGGAATGTAGACGAAGCAACATCTTTCTTAGTTGTGCCCAAGACCCCTCCCCTTGAGACACAATCGTACTGTAGGTGTTTGCAAAACACATTGTCACTTCTTTAAGGCATGATCTTGGGTAACTTTTCACTTCTCTGGGCCTGTTCTCTTCTCTATACATTGAGGACCCCATTCTCATATTCCCCAGGAGTTTTTATTCATACATTCACTCTTCTTTCAATGCACAGGACCATGCTAGATGCTGGGGATACAAAGACGAGCAAAAGAAATGGCATCTGGCTTCATAGCACTTATAATGTAGAGTGGGAGGGAGACGAACTATCACACAGATGAAAAATTGTCAGATAGCATAAGTACTCTACAGGAAAGGCACATGGTGTTGTGGAAGTTGAGGCAAGGGAATCCAACCCTATTCCTTTTGAGCAAGGAGTTGTGCGACCTGTGTTAGCCGTGGCCTACTTCCTTACACTCAAGCAATTGGAACATGGCAGCTGGAATCAAAGACCCTTCTGGCTTTGACGTTCCTGGGCTCTGCAGGGGTCCAGTGGCGTTAAATCACCAAAGATTGGTGAGAGGTGAATGCAAACCCCATGTACCAAGCTTCCCTACTGACTGACCGATGAGCTTTCAAGTAATGACAGCTGATTTCTGTCTTGAAAACAAGCTGTGGTGTTTAGTCCCCATAAAGCCACCATGAGAGAGTTTGCAACTTCTGCTGCAGAAACACGCAGCAGAGATAGGCAACAGATCTCAACTCGATTTCCTTTTTCTATTCCCCACAAAGCAGACAAATCACTGAAGCCCTCCTCACGTGTCCTGACTCCACAGAAAATGGCTCATCCTGAACAGATGTGACTGAAGATTTATTTAGTTTATAAATTAAGTGATGCTGCAATAGAGTCATCATGATTGTGACCTCTCAGGTATTCTGCAGGACCCTCTGACTTGCCAGCGATCACTTGCAGCTAGCTGAGAACAGCAGTAGCAAGTGAAGAAGAGGGGCAGAATCTGGGTCAGGGGGCCAGGAGATCACTTGTGTTTCCTTGGTTCACCAATAAATTCCTGATTGGTGTTGAATGGACTCTCTGGTATGACTAACTTCTCCTGGGATATCCCTGGAGAATGTATTTCCGGAAAAGTTTCAAGTACAATATTGCAATATTTATTTCTGCCTTGGTATTACCTGCTGTCCTGCCAAAGCAAGGGATATAGGCCAAACCAGCAGGTCTCAGATTTTCTGGGTGAAAAGATTATCCTCTATGGGACACTGTCCCCAGACTGAATGGATGCCGCTCTGGATCAGTGAGAAACCAAGGTGGGGTGAGTGAAATATTCAGTCAAATCCAGAAGCACAAATCAAGACTGAGGGAGGCATCAGCAGCTGTGGGTACAAGGGAGGCTATACTGTCCGTAAACACCAGAACTCCCACCTGCATGTCTGCACCTTCCCAACCCATGTGAAGTCTTCCCTGCTATTTCAGAGAGTTCCCAGGGGCTCCCCATCCCTGCCTCTATTGCCCTCATAAAACCCCGCTCTTCTGGTGTCTTATAAGCAAGAGTCCCGGCCAGTCTCAGCACTCAGGATGCTCGGTGGCCCCGAGGTCAGTGCAGGGCGGGGGCAAGGAGACTGGCTCTTGACATGATTCTGCACCTGCTCTGCACGTTTTGGTCTAGGCTCTCACAGCGTCTTTCATGAACACGGTTCCTTCAGATTCCACGCCAACCCCTCCATCGGTGGGGAACTCGAAGCTACTCAGCAGCCTGATGGGAAGGGGTGGGGGTGAGGGGACCATCCCATTCCTGCCAGCTCCTTGTTTCCTGTGACCAGTCCCCCTCCCTCCCAGAGTCCCAGATTCAAGAACATCAAAAGTGCTGCCTTTTTCCTCAGCCACAAAACAACTCCAGTCCCTCCTCCGTGGCCACGTATTGAAGGACAAACCCACTGGTTCTACAAACAGCAAAACCGGTCTGGGCTCCCTTAGGCCATGCTCCTGTCCAAGGCAAGAGAGCAGGCGTCAATCTTCCATGATACATGAAGACACCTATATTGTCATGCAGGGTTTATACTTAAGTATCTGGAGAACCATTTCCCCTGAGAATCCTACAGGTTTGTTCTGATTCCACAAACCAGGGTTCTAGAGCCTTTTCTTCTTCCCTTCCCTGGCGAAGAACTTCTAAATCTACGGTCAATTATTTAATTACTCATTTCACCCTCCAGCAAGACTACAGGCACACCAGTTTTCATGGTAGGGGGACAAAACCCAAAACTCTGTAAGTTTTGGCCTCTTGTTAAAAATAGAAAGCTTCAAGGAAACAGAGGGAAGGGCAGTTAGTGTGGTATTTCATGTCCAAGAGGGTGGCCCTAGGACGATGCTTACTCCTCTCGGAGCCCTTGAGCAAGCACTAGCTCTCAACTGGAAAGCTGACGTGGCTTCTAACTTCAAGGTCGGTAGTGTTGTGTGCTGTAGGCCCAGAATCTGGGAACCGGTGAAATCTAGAGCAGCCTCCCTGAGGCACTTTCCCCAGCCAACAACAGAAGAGCTCTGCTGCCCTCCCGGGGAGGCCACTCTGCTGTGCTGTGGCCTCTTCACGAGACCACGTCCCCAAACCGTGTTTCTCCTTGGCCCGTTCGCTCCCACACTGGGCCCACTCTTCCACCGTCTGCTCAAAATCCAGAGGTCAGGAGCTCTCTCGATCAGGTCCCCTGACTTTCCCTTGCAAGTTCTCTGCCCACTCTGCCTGCTCTGGGTGGGGCAGCTTGGTGTGCAGGTGAGATGCAGGGGATCGGAAGTCAAAGGACTGGATGGAAGTGTTGCTCTGCCCCCTACTCGCTGGGAGACAGTGGCTACATTATTTGATCTCTTTGAACTTGAATTTCCCTACCTCAGTTTTTTTTTTTTTTTTAAAGATTTTATTTATTTATTTGAGACAGAAAGAGAGAGAGCACATGAGAGGGGGGAGGGTCAGAGGGAGAAGCAGGCTCCCTGCCGAGCAGGGAGCCCGATGCAGGACTCGATCCAGGGACTCGATCCAGGGACTCCAGGATCATGACCTGAGCCGAAGGCAGTCGCTTAACCAACTGAGCCACCCAGGCGCCCCTCCCTACCTCAGTTTTTAAACATACTACCTGATACACTTGTTAAAAGAGATTTGTGGAGGCTGCTTTTCTCCCACTCCCGCTCCCTTCGCTATAGACTGAGCCCCATGAAGGTAACACTCCTCAGGGATGCCCCCTCAGAGGAGTGACCCGTCTGATGTGAGTCCATGGGTCAGACTCTGGGTGAACCTGCTCTGCCCTCCTTCTTCCTTTTTTAACCTTGTGCGTGCAGCTTTCAAAGTACACATGATCTCTTTTGCAACCCGCCCCCCGCCCCGGGGTGCAGCTGAGCCACGGGTTCGGATGTGGGGAGGGGAGGAGATTGCCTGTTCCCTGCAGCCACATACACGCTATGTTCTCCAGTGCCTGCTGTGTGATAAATATGGTACTTTGTTCTCTATCTGCCGAGTCCTCTTATTTCTCAGCCGGTTCAGAATTCAGGTGGGGATGGGAGCACCAGGTATCAGGTCCCCTGAAGATCCTCAACATGGGAAGTGAAGAACTTCAAAAGTTACAAAAGGCCTTTTAAGGGAAAATACCTCCTCTCCTCCCTGCCCCTCAGTCCCTCCGTTATCAAGATCCCCTGCCCAGGGGCACTCACTGAGAGCAGATGACAGTGTTTCCTTTCAGAGACTAAATATGTACAAATACCGGTGGACATGCACACGCACGCACACACACATTCTCTCCTGGACATGAGCAGAGCAGTCAGAATTCTGTTCAGCAGCTTGCACCTTACGTTTAACATAACTTAGAGATTCTTTTCTTCCTAGAACATAGACTCCATTAGCTAGTCCCCTCTGGATAGACACTGAGGGCTTTCTTGCTCTTTCACTGTTTCAGAGTTGAACATAGTGGAAAAACGGGCAAACTCTGGAGCCGAGCTCCAGCACCCCTACTTACTAACAGTGAGAACTCGGGCATGTTACTCAGCCCCTCTGTGTCTCCCTTTCTCTTCTAAAATGGGAATAATAATAATTGTAACCTGCTAGTGTTTTGTGAGGCTTCCATGAACACATGCCAAGCACTTGGAGTATACTTGGACTATGACGAGCCTCACTAAGTTTTAGGCAGTTTGGTGAATGCTACAATTTAAACTACACAGGTGATTTTCCACAGGATGTATTTGTAGCTATAGGATTTAAAACATGGTTAGCTTTTGCCAAATTGCCTGCCTTGCAGTTGTATGTGCGTCTTGGTTCCCCGCAGTCCTGACCAAGTGGTTTGTTAGCAAACTTTCTGAAATTTGCTAATCTCATTGATGGAAAACATCTAATTGGAGTCTTAATTACTATTTCTCTTATTATGAGTAAACTTGAGTATCTCCTCATATTTTGAAAAGCCACTTATATTTCCTTTTCTGTGACTAACCCAGACTCATCCTTTGTGCCTTTTTTTTTTTTTCTACTGAGTTGCTGATTTTTTTCCCTACTGACTTATAGGAACTCTGAGTATATTAAGAAAATTAGCCCTTTGGCTATGAGATGCTTTGCAAATATTTTCCAGGCTTGGCATTTTGAACGGTATTTTGTAAGTCCAGTTAATCAACCTTTTCTGGCTTATTGGCTTTGGGTCATACATCCGAGGTGGGGACCACTCTATTTTTAAAGTTCTCCCATATACTCTCCTAATGCTTTTACTTTTTACAGTTAAGTTTTTGATGCATCTAGAATTTTTTTTGATTTAAGGAGGGAGATGTGGATCTGATCTTATTTTCATCCACATGGCTGCCTACCGTCGAAACACCTTTTATGGATAAACCAATTTCCCCCAAATGACTAGATATGCCATCTTCCTCATACTCTCAATTTCCTCATGTATATCTATATCTAGTCTTCTTATTCTATCCCATTTGTTTACTCATGAACCATGAAAACATTTTAATGAGTCATGCTTGATAAAACAGTACTTTTAGTTAGTGGTTAGGGCTAGCCTTCCTATATTATTTTGCTTCTTTTTATACATTTTCCTGGATTTGCTTTCTGGTTTATTGTCTACCAGGGACTTTAGAGTAACCTTACTGAAGGAAAAATAATCTTATTGGGGGGCACCTGGGTGGCTCAGTCTCTTAAGCGTCTGCCTTTGGCTCAGGTCATGATCTTGGGGTCTTGGGATGGAGCCCTGCATTGGGCTCTGCTCAGCAGGCAGTCTGCTTCTCCCTCTGCCCCTCCCCCTGCTAGTGCTTTCTCTCTCTCTCAAATAAATAAAATCTTAAAAAAAAAAAAAGAAAATCTTATTGGTATTTTTACTGGGACTGTCTGTGGGATCATCCATTAGGATTTGGAGGGGGTTAACATTTAAATTTTTAGCTCCCATATAACATCGCTTTGCGTATCTTTTACGCTATAGCAAAGAGGTGGACTCTACATTTGAATAGCGCTTTATACAAGAGGGATCTTACATTTGTATAAAACTCTTGGGATGTACAAAGTACCTCAGGAGATGACATCTCATTTATTCTTACACTAAGGGGGTAAATGTTATTAGTTCTGTTTTCATGAGGAAGCAGTTACACTTACCAAAAGACTGTAGCTAGTTGGTGCCAAGCTTGCAACTTGGGCCCCGATCAATCCTGAGCTTGTTCTGGAGTACCATCACCTCTGTTAGGCTTCTGGCTGTGGGGAGTTCTGGATCTCTGGGCGTGACAGGACCAGACAAGTAAATGATGCGGGAGGAGCCAGCATTGCAAGAGGGGTTGCTTTTATTTGTAAATCTTGCTAACTTGCCCATTTGGCTGACTTCTCCCAAGTTGGTCAGTGGCACTGACTGAACACTCTGTGTGCTGGGCTCTGTACCACACACTTTGGAAGGGGACCGGGGAGGCTGTCTCAGCCCTCAAAGGGCTAGCAGGCTGTCCGTCCAAGCAGGAGGGCAGGCAGTCTCTTCTCAGGCCAAGAGAAGGACTCCCCCTCGGTCTTCACAATTGCTGGCTAACATTTCCAGATCCCACCCAAACAGCTCCAACTCTAGTTTGGCCACGCTGTGGTCCAGAATTTGTCCTAAGGGAAAGTGATATATAAAGATGGAGCCGAGAATAAGAGGGACTGGCATCAAGCCTCATTGGAAAGGCAGGGAGAGTCTGTCACTTTGATTGGAGCATATACAACTGGGTCCAAGGGTTCAGAATGCTTCTTGGTCAGGGGATCACTCTTTTCTTCTGAGATTTTGAAAGCTACGCTCGCATAGGTAAGTGCTTCCTCCGGGGATGAAAGCTGCAGAGGAAGAAGGAGGAATAAGTGAGTTCAATTTGGAGGAAGGTGTCTCTTTAGAAGCCACTCAGAGGCTGGGGTCACAGAGGACCAAAGAGGTCAGAAGATGCACGTGCCTAGTGTCCCAGAAGCAGTGTGGTCATCTTACCTTGGCCGGAGGATCTCGGCTGGAGTGAGGGTCTAAGGGAGGATTCAGGGCCCAGGGACTGGAGTGACCTGCCACAGATGCCAGGAAAGAAAGGGATAAGTCTCACCAGTGGGGCCTGGAGGAATGGGAAGCCTCTCTCTGCAGGCTGGGGTGCAGGGGTGGGTTTTGGAGATGGCAAAAGTGGAGGGGCGGGGGGGGGCAGGGAGAGAAGCAAAGGGATTCAGGTCCTCAGTCTGCAGACAAGGTAAGGGACCAGGCTTTTACTCCCCCCCAGCTGTTCTCAGTGTCAGAGCCAGAAGAGCTGTCCCAGCTCTCGGGGACCACTTACATTTCCTGTAGCTCTTTCTGATGAGGAAGATAAGGACCAGCAGCAGCATTGTCAGTAGGACCCCCGCGAAAAAGGCTAAGACCAAATGCTGTATGCTGTTTTGGCAAAGAAAGGGAGCAGATGACTCTCTGGGCTTTCTGAAGGCCTCTGCCGAAGGCCAGAGAGTCACCGTTCCTGCCCGCGGGTGAATCCCTGAAATAGCTTTCATGCTGGTTCGGTGACTTTTACTCTTATCCACGGCTTTTCAACTTTCTGCTTTGGGGTTCCAGAACTGTTTGAGGCCTCAATGCAAACTGTGGGCTCCTGTGCCCCTCAGAAATCTTCATAAGCCCATCCACACAGTTTTTCAATGAGCTGAGGGGATTCATGAATCTCTCGAGGGATCTCCCCTCCCTGGGGCACTCTGGATTAAGACCCACACTCTAAATATAAAAAACCGATTCAGTTCTTCAACTGTTTCTCGTCCCTTTTCCCCAGACCTGCCTCCCAACTCTCATCAGACGAGGCTGTCAGCACAAAATCCACTGCCATGTGGTACAAGGTGAATTAATAGGCGGGAGAGTGCTGGCTTACTTGGTGTGTTCCAGGAAGCGGGGGGCAGAGGCAATTGTCGGGGCCGCTGTGCTGGCACTTTGTCTGTCTGAGAGAGATGAGAGAGCACAAAGGGGCTTAGTGTCTCTGCCATGGCTCCTGGGTCTTTCCAGCTCAGATGTCCCCAGGTGCCCCACCCTGTCCAAGGAGCCAGGGGAGGTAAACGATGGAGGGCCCCACCCTGCAAAAGGAGAGAATGATGTTTCGCATCCTGGATCCTTTAACTTGAAAACTAGAGTTAGAACTGAGAAAACAATCAGCTACCCACGTGGAAGAAGAGCCTTTGTGTTTCTGCCACTCCATGTGCCCCTTTGACAAACAAACACATCTCCTGTCTCTCCCTCCAAGATTTAATGGACCCCGGGGAGATGAGCTTCCTTGGACAGAAGCAGACAATGTCAAGGCCAGGAAATGGAGAACCAAAAGCAAAACCCAGAACTAGCATTTCCCAAAGTTTTGGGGAACTTGACCTTGGAAACTGCTGCCTTTTTTAGTTTGTTCCTTTGTTTGCAGGGCGGCTTCTAACAGTGACTAGCCAAAGGCAGCCATAGTGAGCTCTCCCAAGGCTGGTGCCATAAACAGGGGGCCAGTAAGGGAAGTGAACTGCATTGTCCTAAGCTACCCAGCTGGTCTCGTATTGAGCACACAGACACCTTTTACTCAACTTGGGAGGATAGATTGTTCTCCCTGGTTCCCCTTGTCACTCTTCCTGGCATCGGATAAAATTTGATTCTTCTAACTTCAGAAATGTTGTCCCATGCAGCTCTTTAGTACAGTTACTGGTTAATCCAGGCCGTGTTAACTCAGTAATGAGGCAGGTAATGGTTTCTGTCCTGGACTTACCATTGTTGGGTTCAGGTTTGGAACGCCATCCTCCCATGCTGTCTTCCCGAGAATAAAAAATGTTCCTCTTTGAAAGCCTAGAAAGGAAAGGTAGCAGAGGGGCAAACTCTCAGACTGTAATTTTAATACCAGAGCAGTATCGATGAGAGAGAGGCTAGTCATGGTGGGTGTTCTAGTGAGGACAGTGGTCACGGACTTTACATGGTGTGGTTACTACACCTCAGCAACCAGTCCTCAGCTTTGCAGGTCCACAAATCTGATCTTAGCAGGGCACCAAGAATTGACTGATTGGTCCAGAACTGACTCACACCAACTAACTCACAGGAGACTGATGTATAAACTGAAATGACATAAGGAACATGTTGATGTCACCAGCGTGTTCTATCAGAACACGTGAGAAAGCCAGTTAAAACCACAGTTTTGCTTGGCATTGAATTGAACTAAGTATGGGAGAAGATGAATGGATGATTTTAATATTGAACATCATAGAGATCTAAAGTATTTGCCTCACTCCTCCCCGGCAGTGCTGGGTAACCTTTGACCCACTTTCTCGTGAAGGTCCTTCCTCTAGGCTGTATCAGAACTTTTATTCTGTTCACATACTTGTCTTTTCAAGTATGTCAGTGTCCTTATCTAGGCTATGGTTCTACTTCTTATGTTAACTTTTCTGTATTTTCCCTTTTATTTATTTGTACTAAAAAGTATAAGGTACCTAAAAGCAGCAGAGTAAAATCACCGAAATCCTACTAACGATTGTTAATATTTTAGTGTATTTCTTTTTAGTTATACTTCCATGAATTTCCTAAAAGCTAGTTGAGACTTCATATCTCCTTTTTTGTTGTTTTTACTAAGTTTTTTTTAAATCATAAACATCTCTCCCATGCCACTCAAAACTTTCTATAAGCATTTTTAGTGGTGAAAAGTATTTCTGTTTAGCCATGAACGATAGCTTGCTTAACCACTTTCGTTGTTGATAAAAATGGTCTCCACTTTTATTTAAAGAATAAAACCATGTTAGGAAACCACAGTTTTACTTCATATTTAGGCACACCCATGATAAGAATTTTTGGCTCTGCTTATACCTGCTGTATTTTAAGGTAATTTATTTAGACAATAAATGCCATCTATTATTTGTGTTTATTTATTCAGCTTTCAAAAGTGAATCAATTTCCAGTCCTTGGACATGGGGAGGGTCAGGAGAAGGATACCTCATCGCCATGTGCCACTTACAATAGCAACAATAATAAGTCTTTAGAATCGACCAAATAACATAATCTAGGATAAAGTGCTGACAGGGAAATCTGGTGAGAATTCTGAGACATGAGACCAGGAAGCCCACCATCCGCAGCAGAATCATCAGTGGTAACAATTTTTCTAGCATTTTTGCTCCTTTTCTAATTTAAAAGTCAACAGTGCTCTTTGCAGAGCACCATAAAATATAGAGTATTTTTTAAATATCGAAATATAAGTTTGCCCTAAAAAGAGCATGGTCTTATCCTATGAATTTATATTGGACTTCGCCACTGGGGACGTGGGAGATGAGATGATTGTAGGCTTCTGTAAAATCTTAACCTTCACATCAGTGGCTCTGAATTTACAACCATCCCACAGAAAAATGCTACTAGACACACCTTCAAAAATTTTGGGGCCACCCCATTCTGAAAGACAAAACCGTCGCACATTGCAGCAGGGAAATAAATTCTTACAGATCCAGGCCAAGAAAAGCAGGAAACACATTTCCGTTTGAAAACAACACCCCAAACATTTGACAGAGCATAAATCAAGATAGAAACAGCACTATATATACTTTCTCACGTTTTGTCCGGTCCTGGGAGACTCTTACCGATTGCCGTAAAATCCACCAGCTACGTGCAGCCACTCAAATACAACCCTTCCCCCACCAAATAAAGTTAAACAGAAAAAAAAAATGATAGAAACCACTAAAAATTAGATGACATTTTCTTTGGGTGAATGATTATTTCATCTAGATTAAAAGCATGGGGTAAATGCATTTACCTTCTAAGACAAAGTCCGGTCATAAGACGCCACTTGTCTAGGACTGAACTTTTCACTTGCTCTGTGACTACGCCTACTTTTCAGAGATGACGAAATAGTGGTTTACTGCTACTACGCCATCAAGCTGTGTGTTTCAAACTTGAGGTCAGAATTCCTCTTTGTGGCCAACATTTTTTATATATATATATATATAAATTATTTTTTATAACAGCATATATTTTTTAATCCCATGAACAGCTTCTTTTGTATCTTTTGACACATGAACACTAGAACATAGGGGGTTAAGACAAGTTTATTTCTAATTAAGTATTTATTAAGTGTTTAACCACCATGCGAGATAAGGTGGAGTTCCCAGCAATATGCCTTCATCATTGTCATCAAGCATCTTCAAATCTCACTTGTTCTAGCCAGAAAGATGAGGCTGATAAGGAGGGACAAAGAGCAGTGTCAAGCATGAGGTACTAGCTGGGCAGACATGAAGTGTGATGGGAGTTATATAGATCCCTGGGGGCGCCTGAATGGCTCAGTTAAGCGTCCGACTCTTGGTTTTGACTCAAGTCATGAGATTGAGCCTGTATGGGGGCTCTGCGCTCAGCGAGGAGTCTGCTGGAGATTCTCTCTCCCTCTCCCTCTGACCCTCCTCCCCGATCACGCTCAGGCTCTCTCTCTCTCTCAAAATAAATACATAAAATCTTAAAAAAAAAAAAAAAGAGTTATGGAGATTCCTTCAGAGGGAAGGCGAGTCATTTCTTTATAAATATTTATCCATAAAATAATGTTAATAAAGTATTCTGCATCTTAAGAGAAGTAGTGAAAAATAAAGGAGGATGAATTTAGAAAAATAAACATATGGATTTAGAAATATTAACCAAAATAGAATTTGTGAAAGATTCATTATCATGTATTCACAGATATTTAAGAAATTTGGAGCACAGTAATTTCTAAGAACACTATAGAGGTCCTGGTTACTCTATTGTGTTTCTTATAGGTACGCCCTATAAGAAAACAGTACCTTGAGAATGAAATCTGATATTTAAGGATTCAAGAAGTGTGACAAAAGAAAATAATCCCTGAAATTATTATTCTTTTTACAAAAGAATGTCCTCAATTTATGGAGTTTATGGAAAATAAAGCAAGAATTCTTATGCTTATGAGGCCGAAGTTATCAAAGGAACAGACTGGATAATCCTCATCAGATTATCCTCTCAGTAGCTCAAAGAAACTATTGAAATAGAGAAAAAAACACCTTTAATTTAGAATCACTATCTCTGGATCTCTTAATCAAGAAATGCGTGCTATTTTTTTTCTTTTTGGTGTAGTATTTGAAAACAAGAAACAGTCTATAATTTGAAAAAAGATACTTAAAATAATACATATACTTGCTAAATAAACTGTGAACTAGGTGCTGTGGATATTTCAGAGAACAAGCCAGAAAATTTTCTCATGGGGCCTATTGTCTAATTGAGAAGAGAAATCATAAACACGAAAACAGCAGACATTGCAGACTGTGTTAATGGCCATGAAGGACACAAGCAGAGTGCCATGCTAGACTAGATTAAATGATGGCAGAAGGTCTCTAGATGAAATGGATGAGTGGGGATGGTCTGTCCAAGGAGCAGACACTGAGAACCAGAGGATGGGAAAGAGCTGGTCAGGCAGGGAGCCCCAGAAGACAGTTTCAGGCAGAGGGCATAGCAACTCACAGACAAGGGAAAAGGAAGAACTGGCAGAGCCGGCAGAGCTGGTGAAATTGGGCAAGGCTGCCTACAGGTGGACCCGGAGCTGGGGGTCTGGGGCATGGATGGGGTTTGGATGGAGGGGGCAGAAAGGAACCACATAGGGAGTGCCCCAGGCCTGCGACTGGTTGCTGTGATTCAGGGGATGTTTTTCCCGAAGATCAGTGTGGTTCAAGAGTGGAGCATTTTTGGGGCGCCTGGGTGGCTCAGCTGGTTAAGCGACTGCCTTTGGCTCAGGTCATGATCCTGGAGTCCCAGGATCAAGTCCCGCATCAGGCTCCCTGCTCAGCAGGGAGTCTGCTTCTCCCTCTGCCCCTCCCCTCTCTCATGCTCTCTCTCTCATTCTTTCTCTCAAATAATTAAAATCTTTAAAAAAAAAGAGTGGAGCACTTTTTTTAAATTTAAATTTTTTTATTAAATTCAGTTAATTAACATATGGTGTATTATTAGTTTCAGAGGTAGAGTTCAGTGATTCATCAGTCTTATTTAATACCCAGTGCTCATTACATCATGTGTCCTCCTTACTGTCCATCACCCAGTTACCCCATCCCTCCACCCTCCTCCCCTCCAGCAACCCTCAGTTTTTTCCTATGATTAAGAGTCTCTTATGGTTGTATCCTCTCTGATTTAGTCTCGTTTTATTTTTTATCTATGATTCTCTACTTTGTTTCTTAAATTCCACATATCAGTGAGATCATATGATAATTGTCTTTCTCTGATTGGCTTATTTTGCTTAGCGTAATACCCTCTAGTTCCATCCACATCATTGCAAATGGCAAGATTCCATTTTTTTTGATGGCTGAGTAGTATTTCATTGTTATATATATATACCACATCTTCTTTATCCATTCATCTGTCGATGGACATTTGGGCTCTTTCCATAGTTTGGCTATTGTGGACATTGCTGCTATAAACACTGGGATGCAGATGCCCCTTCAGACCACGACATTTGTATCTTTGGGGTAAATCCCTAATAGTGCAATTACTGGGTCATAGGGTACCTCTATTTTTAACTTCTTGAGGAACCTCCATACTGTTTTCCAGAGTTGCTGCACCAGATTGCATTCCTACCAACAGTATAAGAGGGTTCCCCTTTCTCCGCATCCTCAACAACGTCTGCCGTTTCCTCACTTGTTAATTTTAGCCATTCTGGTATGAGATGGTATCTCATTGAGGTTTTGATTTGTATTTCCCTGATGCTGAGTGATGTTGAGGATTTTTTCATGTGTCTGTTGGCCATTTGGATGTCTTCCTTGGAGAAATGTCTGTTCATGTCTTCTGCCCATTTCTTGATTGGATTATTTGTTCTTTGGGTGTTAAGTTTGATAAGTTCTTTATAGATTTTGGATACTAGCCCTTTATCTGTCATTTGCAAATATCTTCTCCCATTCTGTCAGTTGTCTTTTGGTTTTGTTGACTGTTTCCTTTGCTGTACAAAAGCTTTTTAGCTTGATGAAGTCCCAATAGTTATTTTTGCCTTTGTTTCCCTTGCCTTTGGCAATGTGTCTAGCAAGAAGTTGCTGCGACTGAGGTCGAAGAGGTTGCTGCCTGTGTTCTCCTTGAGGATTTTGATGGATGCCTGTCTCACATTTAGGTCTTTCATCCATTTTGAGTCTATTTTTGTGTACGGTGTAAGGAAATGGTCCAGTTTCATTCTTCTGCATGTGGCTGTCCCATTTTCCCAACACCAATTGTTGAAGAGACTGTCTTTTTTCCATTGGACATTCTTTCCTGCTTTGTCGAAGATTAGTTGACCATAGAGTTGAGGGTCCATATCTGGGCTCTTTATTCTGTTCCATTGATTTGTGTGCCTGTTTTTGTGCCAGTACCATACTGTCTTGATGATTATAGCTTTGTAATAGAGCTTGAAGTCTGGAATTGTGATGCCACCAGTTTTGGTTTTCTTTTACAACATTCCTTTGGCTATTCAGGGTCTTTTCTGGTTCCATACAAATTTTAGGATTATTGGTTCCAGTTCTGTGAAAATAGTTGATGGTATTTTGATAGGGATTGCATTGAATGTGTAGATTGCTCTAGGTAGCATAGACATTTTAACAATATTTGTTCTTCCTATCCATGAGTATGGAACGTTTTTCCATTTCTTTGTGTCTTCCTCAATTTCTTTCATGAGTGTTCTATAGTTTTCTGAGTAAAGACCCTTTGCCTCTTTGGTTAGGTTTATTCCTAGGTATCTTACAGTTTGGGGTGCAATTGTAAATGGGATCAACTCCTTAATTTCTCTTTCTTCTGTCTCATTGTTTGTGTATAGAAATGCAACTGATTTCTGTGCATTGATTTTATATCCTGCCATTTTGCTGAATTCCTATATGAGTTCTTGCAATTTTGTGGTGGAGTCTTTTGGGTTTTCCACATAGAATATCATGTCATCTGTGAAGAGTGAGAGTGCGACTTCTTCTTTGCTGATTTGGATGCTGATTTGATTTCTTTTTGTTGTCTGATTGCTGAGGCTAGGACTTCTAGTACTATGTTGAATAACAGTGGTGAGAGAGGACATCCCTGTTGTGTTCCTGACGTTAGGGGGAAAGCTCTCAGTTTTTCCACATTGAGAATGATATTCGCCGTGGGCTTTTCATAGATGGCTTTTATGATATTGAGGTATGTTCCTCTATCCCTATGCTGTGGAGAATTTTAATCAAGAAAGGATGCTGTATTTTGTCAAATGCTTTCTCTGCGTCAATTAAGAGAATCATATGGTTCTTGTCTCTTCTATTAATGTTATGTATCATGTTGTCTTTTCTTTTATTAATGTGATCAAGCACATTGATTGATTTGTGAATGTTGAACCACCCTTGCAGCCCAGGAATAAATCCCACTTGGTCGTGGTGAATAATTCTTTTAATGTACTGTCAGATCCTCTTGGCTAGTATCTTGGTGAGAATTTTGGCATCCCTGTTCATAAGGGATATTGGTTTATAATTCTCTTTTTTGGTGGGGTCTTTAGTTTTGGGACCAAGGTAATGCTGGCCTCATAGAACGAGTTTGGAATTTTTCCTTCCATTTCTATTTTTTGAAACAGCTTCAGTAGAATAGGTGTTAATTCTTCTTTAAATGTTTGGTAGAATTCCCCTGGGGGGCCATCTGGCCCTGGACTCTTGTTTGTTGGGAGATTTTCTTTATTACAGCTTCAATTTCCTTGCTGGTTATGGGTTTTCTATTTCTTCTATTTCTTCTTCTTATCAGGTTTTCTATTTCTTCCTGTTTCAGTTTTGGTAGTTTATATGTCTGTAGGA